CCCCTCCCCCTACACACCTGGGCAGCCAAGGCCCCTGTGGGTGTGCCCAGGGCCTGGGTGGGCTTCTGCCCACTTCCTGCAGCCTCACCCCTGCACTTCAAAGACCGCTGGCGGCCCTGTGGTCACTCCGCAGCTCCCACGCAGCCAGAGAGGGGCGGGGTGAGCACAAGCCCCTGGCAGCAGAGCCGGCTCCAGCAGCTTCAAAGCAGCAGGGTGGGCAGCCCTGCGGTCAGCGTGGGTCTCGGCAGGGTGGAGGCCTGGCAGGGGCACAATGGCTCTCTCCTTTGCTTCCTCGGCCTCACTCACGGACTTCCTGGGTGGGCTCAGGCCAAAGGCCCAGAGACTCCCCTGGTCCCAGAGCCTGTCCTGGTGCAGGGCCTATGGGGTGGTGATGTTCTCCCATCCGCAGGAGGTAGGGTCCACGTGGGGTCACCCTGGAGCGCACCCCCTTTAGAGAAACCACAAGAGCCAAGGTGGGGCACCCCTCCTGGCCCACAGGCCCCTGGCCGGTGAGGCTTCCTTGTCTCCCTCTACCTCCTCCCTCCCCTCTCTTCTGCCTGCAGACCTGGGGCAGCCGGAGGGCGGGGCCAGAGGAAAGAAGGGCGCGCCTGTCTGGGCCCGCCGGGAGTGACCCCGGCTCCTACCACCGCGGAGGTGGGCTTGACCTCCCGCCAGATCCCCAGACCCGGGGCGGGGGCGGGGGCGCAGGGCCCGGCGCAGCCGCCGCCGAGAACAGAGAGTGCCTGTGCGCCGGCGGGAGGAGCTCGCAGGGTCCCCTGGGGTCGGCTCCGGGACAGTTGCCGTTTTAATCAGCAGCAGACGGGAGCCGGACGGCGGTAACCCAGATCCGCTCTGCGCCGGTTCGGAGGCGCCGGCGGGGTCCAAGGGCAGGGCCGCTCCCGCTGTGACCCCCAGGCAGAGGGGGTCCTGTTCCAGCCAGGTCCGCGGTGGCCTTGCCGCGTCCCTCCCGGTCCGCGACGGCAATCCCCGCGCCCAGGCTCCACCCCGCCCCCGTGCGCGGCCGCGGGCCGGCGCCCCATTCGGGTGGGGGGAGCCCGCTCCGGAGCTGGGACCCTGCGCACGCAGCTCAGCCCCGCAGGCAGGCCTGGAGGTCACCTCCCCACGCCGGCCCTGCGAGACCCACCACCGCCTTCCCCTTCGGGTGACGGCCGACCCGGGCGCTGGGCGGGGCTCCCGGCGCCCGCGCCCGCTCCCCAGGGCCGCCGCGCGCTCTGCCCCGCGGCCGCACCGCCACCCGGAAAACGTGGGTGGTTCCGGGGAAGGTGCGCCCCCCGCCCTGTGAGCCCCGGCGGCCGGGAGGGGGCCTGCCTGGACCCTGGACGGCGCCCCGCTCCCTCCCCAGCGCGGTGATCGGAGCTCACACTGGCGAGGCCGCGCGGCGGGTCCGGGACCCGACCTTGTGGCGGGGCGCCCACCCTTTCCGCGCGCCCACCCTTCCCCTCAGCCCCACACAGAGCCAGGGCTGCTGCCGGAGATCCAGGCCGCGGTTTCTATCCGGCCGCCTGCCAGCGCCCGGGCACACAGGTGAGGGGTCTCAAGGGGCAGAGAGCAAAAAGTGGGGCGGATCGGCCGCCCTGGGAAGGGCTTCTGGTGCCGGCCTCGACAGCCAACATTCATTAATCTATGGACAACAGGTACAGAAAGCACCAGCTGCTCCGTTTGCTGCTGGACCAGCACCCACGCAGGACTCAGGCCAGCGCGAGCTTTTGGAAAAGCAATCCCACCAGATCTCATGGCCTTAAGCACACACACCCCTTCCGTGCAGGCAGGCACCCAGGGGCCCATGGCAGCTGTGGTGCAAATAAAATAACCATCCTAGTCAGGACTGTATGTTGTGCCTGTTTGTAGGCAAAAGAGAAGGTGTGGAAGGGCACGTCCAGGATAATACTTCTGGGTACCAGGCAGAGCCGAGAAAGGACGGCTAATATATCCTGTCTCACTGTGTGAGGAAGACCAAAGCAAGAATTAAGCACTCACCTCCACCAAATCTGTGCTGGTGTGACAGTGGTGGAAGGGAGAAGGCTCGGCTGTGAGGGTGCCCAGCCAGGTGTGGCCGTGACCCTTCCCAGTTCCTACGTGGGTTCTAGGGACCTCCCAGGAGTGGGGCCATGACCTGCACAATCCCAGGGGGCCTGGAGTCTATGAAGCCTGCGCAGACTGCACAGCCCCTGGGACTGAGCCCAGGGAACTCAGCGCACGCCCCCCCCCCCCCCCAGACCAGCCCCAGGTTCTGGACTCCCGTTTGGACTTGATCCTGACGATGGGTGCAGTGTGAGGAGACGGAGCCCGCCTGCAGAGAGGCAGGAAGAAGCGGGCTGGGCACGTTCCACTCCCCCACCAACCCAACATCCTTGAGGGCCGGGTAATTCTGTGATTCCAGATGTTCAGCAGCTGTCGTGGCCATTTCCGCCCCTTCTCTGACCCCACATCCGCCAGGAAGCGTCCCCTCCTGTCCTCAGGCTCTGAGCCAGCCCCCATCTTCCCAGCTCCCCATTTCCTGAGCAGGGGCGTTTGTGCAGGCTCAGCTCCCGTCCCAAGCCCTGGCCCTGCTCCTGGAGCCTGGGCCCCTCCAGCCTCTAGGACTGGTTTTCTCTCTCTCCCCGTTCCTTCTTCGAGGTCGGCTGGGCAGCCTGCGCATAAATCCAGAGAGACTGAGCAGAGCTGCCTGGAGGGAGGGTGGGAGAAGGCCAGAGGTCACGAGACCAGCAGGCTCTGTGGGGGTGGGTGCATACTTAGGTGTCTGCCTGCAGACATGGGGGTGTGGGGTGGAGGGGTGCCTGAGAACTGACAATGGGGGACATAGCCTCACCTTCCCGGAGCAGATGGGGGCACAAGAGGTCACTGCAGCTGGTCCAGTCTGGAGTCTCTTCTGGAGGGGACAGCGGGAGGAGGGCTCCCTTCCTGTCACATGCTTCCTGTCCAAGAGAGCTGGTGGTTCTGGAGCCCTCAGGCTCCCATGGGTATGGGTTGGGGGTGGGGCCGGGGGCTTGTCCAGGGTCAGGCCAGACGCAGGGCAAGGGTTCCAGGGGGCCAGCGCTCCAGCCTGCTGACTTCTGCCCCTCAGAATCCAACCCCCACCTCCCCCTATTCCCCACCTCCCCCACCCTGCTCTTCCAGGGAACCAAGGGCAGATGGGCTTGGCTGAGAAAACCAGCAGGGAGACTGCCCCAGAAGGACAAACCTTCTGGGGGATCAAAGCAAAATGTGGCACATCCCACACACTATGCTCCAGGGTCCCCCGCTTCTGGGGTCGGGCTGAGGATGCAGTGAGCCCCTCTGCTCTGCTGGGGTCACTCCTCTGGTCTCACAAAACAAGCCTCTGGGTCGGCACGGCCTCCCCTGGCAGCCGAGTTTACGAAAGAGCTTCCTGGTAGAGTAATGCCCCTGCCTTCGCCCAACGATTCCACAGCCCCTAACCACGGTGCCAGGGCTATTTAATGAGAGGAGGACCACCCATCACCAGGGCACCCCACCCATCCTGTGACCCCGTTGTGGTGCCCTCTCCCCACTGCCCCTCAAGACCCAGTGAAGAGGGAAGGTGGTTCAGGGCAGAGGAACACAAAAGGGCCTTGCCAGGTGCACCCGTGGCCCTGAGACACTATTGGGGCCTCAGGCCCTGACCAATGAGCAGAGCAGCCCAATCTGGAAGCAGAGCTGGGCAATCTAGGCCTCAGCCAGCTGGGGACGAGGGCAGGGGACAGAGTTGCCAGATTGAGCAAAAATCAACCAAAAAACAGGATATCCAGTATGTTCCATGTGATATTTAGGACATACTTATACTCAAAAAGTATTTTTTCTTTATCTGAAATTCAGATTTAACAGGTTCTGTATTTTATCGGGAAACTCTAGGGCAGTGGTTGGTCGGCAAACTCATTAGTCAGCAGAGCCACAGTTTGCCGACCACTGCCCTAGGGGATAGTCAACTCTCCCAACCCTGCTGCCTTGCTCATTGACCCATTCTGCCCCCCAACCCCGATGGGCAGCAATGTCTTCAACTCTGCTTCCCAAATGCGGTGGGGCTGAGTGGGTCGCTGTGCCAGGAGAAGTGGGTGGGAGTGGGGTGGACCCAGGCTCACTGGGAAGCAGAGGCTATGGTCCTGGAACCCTCTCCCCAAAGGCTCGGGCTCCGAGGCAGGCCAGGCTCGTGGGCTGCAGGAGGCTGGCTGGCTTTGCCAAATTCCTGTTTCAGGTCCAGGAACTGTTGAATGAGGCCCCTGTCTGGCTCTTCCCTGGCTCCCTTTGTGGCCTCTACCCTGCCACCTTTACCCTCTGGTGGCCGGCCGCTCTGGCGGAGAAAAAGGGGAACTCACCGAAGCCTTCTAGAAAAGAGGAAGATACATCTTGTGGGGGTGGTTTTAGGTGGAGGAGGGCTCAACCAGGGCTGAAAATGAGGAACTGGCCAGGAAGGGCCCACCTGGAAAAGGTCACTGCCTGTGCTGGCGCCACTGGAAAGAGGATCCGGAACAGGTGGGTTTGCACCTCATTCGCCCCTTTCCGGAGAAGATCAGGTGTGGAGGGGCCTGCACAGGCTGCCTCCCTGCTCCGGGGGTCCACCGGCCGCGGGTCCGGGTTCCTGGGCTGTTCCGTGCACAGGGAGGGCTGGGGGCATCTAGCACAGGTCTGGCCAGGGAATCTCCACCCCCCACCTTACCCCTTCCACCCCCCACCTCTCCACCCCTACGCCCACCCCACTTCTCCAGACTTTGTCTCTGTAAATGCTCAAACAGCCTGACCCCAGAGCTGTGGGCGGCCCCAGCTTCCTCACCTCCAGTGTGGGGATTCCTGCCTCTGTTTAAAAGGGGCAGGGGGGGGGGGGGGGGGGATGCCGAAACCGGTTTGGCTCAGTGGATAGAGCATCCGCCTGCGGACTGAAAGGTCCCAGGTTCTATTCCGGTCAAGGGCATGTACCTTGGTTGCGGGCACATCCCCAGAAGGGGGTGTGCAAGAAGCTGCTGATCGATGTTTCTCTCTCATCAATGTTTCTAACTCTCTCCCTCTCTCTTCCTCTCTGTAAAAAATCAATAAAATATATATATTTTTTAAAAAGTGGGAGGGGGTGTTGCTCAAAGTGCTGGGAGGTGAGTGAAGCAGGGACAGGGGAGATACAGTCAAGGAGGGGATAAGGATGGTGTTTGTGTCCCAAGGGTGGGGCGGCACTTGAGGGCCTGGGAACCCTTTGTGAGTCCATCACAGGGTGTAGCCCTTCCCCCAGCAACAGTGACTCACAAAGCAGGTTGGTGCGGATGCCACAGCGAGGGGAACCCCAGAACAGCTCCGAGCGGTGCTAGCCCTTGCAGTGCCCGCTGGGCCGGGCCGGGGTCTCCCAGCACACCCCCTCCCCCCCGGAAACCGCATTAGGGTTCCCGCAGAGCAGCCTCGACGCCCATGTGTGTCGTCTGCTTCGTGAAGGCGCTGGTGCACGTGTTCAAGATCTACCTGACTGCCAACTACACCTACAACTTCCGCGGCTGGCCGGTGGACTTCCGCTGGGATGACGTGGGCGCCGGCGCGGGCGGCAGCAGCCACTGCGCGCTCACGTGCACGGCGGCCGCGGCGGGCGTGTGGCTGCTGCAGGACGCCGCGCTGGGCGGGGGCGCGCCCGCGAGGCCGCTGCACGCGGCGCGCAGCCAGCTGCAGTGCCTTCTGCAGCAGATCCGGGAGCTGCCCGGCCAGCTGGCCAGCTACGTGCTGGCCCACTCGCTGGGCCGCTGGCTCGTGTACCCCGGCTCCATGTTCCTGATGACCCGAGCGCTGCTGCCGCTGCTGCAGCAGGGCCAGGAACGCCTGGTGGAGCGCTACCACGGCCGGCGAGCCAAGCTGGTGGCCCGAGACGGCAACGAGATCGACACCATGTTCATGGATCGCCGCCAACACCCGGGCAGCCAGGGCCGCGGCCTGCGCCTGGTTATCTGCTGTGAAGGCAACGCCGGCTTCTATGAGATGGGCTGCCTGTCGGCGCCGCTGGAGGCTGGCTACTCGGTGCTGGGCTGGAACCACCCGGGCTTCGGGGGCAGCACCGGTGAGCCGTTCCCTCAGCACGATGCCAACGCTATGGACGTGGTGATCAAGTACGCCCTGCACCGTCTGCGCTTCCCGCCCGCGCACGTGGTGATCTATGGCTGGTCCATTGGCGGCTTCACAGCCACCTGGGCCACCATGACGTACCCGGAACTGGGTGCGCTGGTGCTGGATGCCACCTTCGACGACCTCGTGCCTCTGGCCCTGAAGGTCATGCCCCAGAGCTGGAAGGGACTGGTGGTGCGCACCGTGCGCGAACACTTCAACCTCAATGTCGCGGAGCAGCTGTGCAGCTACCCCGGGCCGGTGTTGCTGCTTCGGCGAACTCTGGACGACGTGGTCAGCACCTCGGGCCACCTGCGCCCCCTGCCGTCCGGCGACGTGGAGGGCAACCGCGGTAACGAGCTGCTCCTGCGCCTGCTGCAGCACCGCTACCCGAAGGTGATGGCAAGTGAGGGCCAGGCCATCGTGACCCGCTGGCTGCGCGCCGCTAGCCTGGCACAGGAAGCTGCTTTCTATGCGCGCTACCACGTGGATGACGACTGGTGCCTGGCATTGCTACGCTCCTATCGCGCTCACTTCAAGGACAAGCAGGAGGACGAGGAGGTCTGGGGACCGCATGGGCTCGCCTTCCCGTGGCTAGTGGGCCAGGACCTGAGCTCGCGTAGGCGCCGGCAACTTGCGCTGTTCCTGGCGCGCAAACACCTCAAGAACCTGGAAGCGACTCACTGCAGTCCGCTAGAACCTGAGGACTTCCAGTTGCCCTGGAGACTGTAGCCTGAGCCCCCGAGGCAGCTAGCGTTTGTGCTTTTGCTGATCTTCAGGGCCTCAGAGCCATTGCCCTCCCCACACCCCAACCAGTAAAGCTGGCCTGCCCTAGGCACCCAACCTAGTTTGTGGGAGAGGGTAAGACATTCCCAGCCCCCTCTCTCTTCCTCCCTCAAACACTGTGGATGTCTGGGTCTGCTCCCAGTTCCTAAAGGGAATGCAAAAATTACCCTGACCCGATTAATAGCGATGCTGTGTGATGGGTGCCTTGAACACCTCAAAATGATGGTGGGAAAACGGGCTGTTGGGCCTTCGGAGGTGCTGTTGACCCACCCTGGGTTACAGGTGGCTCAGGGAAGATGATGGTGAAGGGTCTGAACAGGTTGCCCCTAGCTGGGAAAGGACATTGGCATCTAAACGCAGGTCTTAGCAGCCAGACCTTTCCTGGACTGTGATGCTGCTCCATGGGGTCCTATCCCTACCTCCACTGCTGGCTTCTACGAGAGGGGTTCAGTGGGACCCCAGACTCAAAGTAGCAGGTGCACACCATGTGGCTTGTAGCTGCTGGCCAAGGTGGCTGTGGGCCCACAGCCTACAGGCCCACGGGCCCATGCTCCACCCCTCCCCGGGTTGGGTCTCCGTCTCTTGATGCTCTCCTTCTCCTCTGCCCGCCCTAAGGCCCCTCTCGGCTCTTGGGCACCGACCACACACCTGCACCAAACATTTATTGCTGAGCATCTACTGAGCCAGGCCTGGACTGGGCCTTGTTCCTAGTTCAGGGATGTAATAGATAACGAGAAACAAGCCCTCTGCTCACTACTATCTACGATGCAGTCACTTCCTTACTGTCTGCCCTGAACTGTGTGAAGCAGGGACTACTTGCTGTCCCCAGTCTCGGGACAGGCTGGTCAGGGTGGGTTGAGCAAGAAACTAGAAAAACAACTGAAAAAGTCAAGTGGGGCAAACGTATAATTGACAGCACCAAGGCAGGACACGGCCATGGTGCAGCCTGGCAGGAATAAGCAGAGGTGGGTACATAAGGTGACCTCCAGTACAGGAATATGCCTGCAGGAGGTGAGTTTTGAGCTGAGTCAGGAAGGAGGTGAAGGAAGTGGCTTCCATACCTGGGGATCAGAGTGGCCTGGCTGGAATCGGGGAATACAATTCCTGAAGAGTCAAATCCTAAAGGGTTTGAATACCATTTAAAGATTTTGCTTTCAGGGGCAATTAGGAAAGGAAGAAGGGAAGTTGTGGGATTGTCTTTGGGGGACTGGTTGCCTGACGGTTGCACATCTCTCTTTTGATAAGTTAGGCAAGTTAGACTCTTGTTCCAGAATCGGCTGGAAGCCCCTTAACTAACTGAATGACCTTGGCAAGTTACTCCAACTTATAAGGTTCTCCCTCCTCCCAACTGGTGGGCGGAGTTATGACATTACTGGCATCTGTCACAGAGACATCTCCAAGACATTGAGCCATCAATCAGCGCGTGCCAAAGTGTCCTGGAGCCCACCCCCTCCTGTTCTGCCCTGGGTCCAACCCTCTCCTGTTCCTCCCCTTAAAAAGACCCCCCAGACCAGCTACGTGCTGCTGATCCTCCATGTCCAGGTAGCAACCCGGCTGGGTCCATCCCCCCTCCCAACTCCTTCAATTCTGATTTCTCTACCTCCGTAATGAGTCCCGCTCATTACTGGGGAATAAACTTTATTTTAAAATATCTTGGTGATCAGTTTCCTGCGCCTCAAACCTTACTCAATCTCAGTTTACTCATCTGTAAAATGGGAGGGCTCCAGCTGGTTCACCTGTGGGTGTGGCAAGCTCAAGTCAAGGGTGCACGGGCCGATGCAGGGCGTGCCCAGCCCTGTAAGCTGCGCGAGCTCGACGCCCGGTGAAGGCCGCAGCGTTTGCAGGGCAAGAGGACATCTCACAGTCACCCCTTTTTCTGCACAGCTCCCATTACCCGTCTCCCTTCCCCCCCATCCCAGTAAATGTGCGCACTAAAAAAGAAAAAAATGGCAGACCGGGGACGAGGCTAACCCCAAAGTCAGGAGATCGGGCCTCGGAGGAATCACAAGCGGTCTGAGTCGGATTCTCAAGCCCTGGCTCTCTTAGGCCGCGGGAGGCACCCTCGAGACCTCCAGGGGCCTGTGAGAAGGGTTTCCCTGGCGCCATGTTGGCCGCTCTTCCCACTTCCCACCTCTCGCGGGCTCCTCCGGGCCGTTCTGCCCGGCGTCTCGCTGGTGGAGTCGGCCTCGGAGGGATTTCCTCAGAACCCGCCTCTCTTCCTGAGTCGCTCTTTGCCTTAGCCAATCAGGTTGGAGGAGATGAACCGACACCGGACGAAGAATGCTCTTATTGGACAGCGCTCGTGGGGGCGGGACGAAAATGGAGCACGCGACAAAGCGGAAGTGGGCCGTCGCACCGTTGATTACGTATTGCCACGGCGGCTGTAGCGGTTCCGCTGGCTGGTGTGTGCGCGGCGAGCGGCTCCAGTGCGGCCCGCTCGGCTCCTACGTCCGAGACCCCCGCCGCGACTCCCGCCGTGGCTGGGCCGCCGTGCGATCATGGACTCTGCTGGCCAAGGTAGCTGGGGGCCCGGCGCCTCCGCCCTCCCCAGGTCGGCTCTCGGACTCTCCTCCTCCGCTCTTCCCGCGGCCCCTCTCGGCTCCCGGGCGCCCGACCGCCGTGCTTCCCGATCTCCCGATGGTCGTGGCGTGTGTGATCCACTCCCAGCTTGGACCGCCGCGAGGAGGTCCCCAGGCACCTTTCCTGTCCCCGGAGTTTTGGGTGGTTCTCCTTCCAGGCAGCGCTCGTTATAACCCCGCCCGGCCCGCGGAGTCCCTCCACCTAGCCCTGAGCCGAGGTGGTGTGCGCGGCTCCCGGAGGAGAGGGGAGACGGTCCTCGCGTTCGGCCCAGCGCCCCTCGGGTGGCATCGCTCTCGGAGCCCAGCCTGCTAGAGGTTGTGTGTGGGAGGGAGGAGCAGTGAGTCAGGGGCACACCCAGTTTACCTGACCTGTTTCCAGACAGACACCCCCAGATCCGTTTGAGAAGGCCGCTGGAGGTGGCGAGGACTCGGGAGATTAAATCTTGAGAAGGCGATAACCAGTTAGTTTATCTCCCATTACGATTCTCTAGCGAGGGGATGCTAAGTTTCTATTTACATAACGACACCGGGTAATTGCAGGGTGCTACTGGTCGACCTTATCAGCATACTAATTAGACATAATTTCTGGATTCTGATACTATTCTGTAGGGTTTCCTACTTATGACGTGTATTTATAAAATAGTTGAGCGTCAGAAGTTAAGCATCACAAGCACTGGGTTCTGATCATGAGAAAGACAGACATTCACTGAGCACCTATGTGCCAAGCACCATAATAAGCCTGCTTCTCAAATGATCTTTTTCCATTTTCAGAGTAACCCTTTGAGATTGGTGCTTGTATTGCTCCCACCTGCAGAGGTTTTTACAGGCTTAGAGAGCTGGGGCTGGCCTAGGGTAAGGACCCCCCTGTGGCTCCAGCCCCAAGCCTGTTCTCTGTGCTGGCATGTTCGGTGAGTGCCCAGTTTCTACCCCGGGGTGGGGGGTTGACTTCCATGGGTTCAAATTTGCAGAAACTGTCCAAGGGCCGCCGCCGCCTCCGCCTTCTTCTTCTTTTTCTTCTTCTTCTTGTAGTAGAAGAGAAACATTTTAGAGATTTTAAGGCATTTACTGAATTTGAGTAGCTTCAATATAATGGATACAATGATGATGTAAAATTATGTAGGTTGATACCAGTTAAAATTCAGAATCTGTTGACTTAAAAGTGGATATGCTTTGTTTTGTAAATATCTGTTGAGTACCAAGGAGGAGCCCAGCTGGAGCTGTGTGGGTGGGGCATGTGAAGGGAACAGGACAGCTGGCTAAGGGGAACATCTTTGATTTTAAGTGCCTTCCATCTAATTTTAGCAGATTCTGGCATTTCTACAGTAGACAAACACTTTTACTTCTCTCTAAATTTCATGCTTTTTAAAAATATATATATTGCCGAATCTGATTTGACTCAGTGGATAGAGCGTCAGCCTGCGGACTGAAGGATCCCAGGTTCGATTCCGGTCGAGGGCATGTGCCTTGGTTGCGGGCACATCCCCAGTGGGGGGCATGCAGGAGGCAGCTGATCGATGTCTCTCTCTCATCGATGTTTCTAACTCTCTGTAAAACATCGATATTTCAAAAACAACAACAACAAAAAACATCGATGTTTCTAACTCCCTCTCTGTAAAAAAAATCAATAAAATATGTTTTAAAAAAAATAAATAATAAATAAAATATATACATGTTCTTATTGATTTTGAGAGAGAAGGGAAGGGATATAGAGATAGAAACATCAATGGGAGAGGGACATTGATCAGCTGCCTCCTGCACACCCTCTACTGGAGATGGAGTCTGCCACCCAGGTATGTGCCCTGACCAAGAATTGACCTTTTGGTTCAGAGGTCGACTCTCAGCTGCTGAGCCATGCAAGCCAGGCAATTTCATTTAGTTTTATTTTGTTATTCTTGGTTGTTTTTTAAAAATATTTTGTTATTATTTTCAGAGAGGAAGGGAGAGGGAGAGAAAGAGAGAAATATCAACAATGAGAGAAAATTACCGATCGCCTGTTCCCTGCACACCCTTTACTGAGGATGGAGCCTGCAACCTGGACGTGTGCTCTTTTTTTTTTAAATATATTTTATTGATTTTTCACAGAGAGGAAGAGAGTTAGAAACATCGATGAGAGAGAATCATTGATCAGCTGCCTCTTGCACACCCCCTACTGGGGATGTGCCCGCAACCAAGGTCCATGCCCTTGACCGGAATCGAACCTGGGACCTTTCAGTCCGCAGGCCGACGCTCTATCCACTGAGCCAAACCAGTCCTGACTGGACATGTGCTCTTGACAGGAATTGAACCTGGGACCTTCATTTCTCAGGCCGACACTCTATCCACTAAGCCAAACTGGCTAGGGCTAAAATATTTTTATTGATCTCAGAGAGGAAGGAAGAGAGAGGTAGAAACCTCAATAATGAGAGAGAATCATCCATCGGCTGCCTCCTGTATACCCCACATGGAATCAAGCCTGCATCTCAGGCATGTGCCCAGGCCTGGATTTGAACCATGACCTCCTAATTCATAGGTTGACGCTCAACTACTGAGTCATGCTGGTCGGGCTCGTTTACTTTTAAAGGTGTAAGACACCAGACAAAGGCTGTTTCATCAAAGAGAAGATGTTCTCAGTGCTGATGATATAAAAGTACTAAATGACAATTATGTGGTCAGAGTAGGAAAGGACTGAAGTAGACCTCATTTTCCTTGTGTGAGTTCTTGTAAACTTTCAGTGCAGACAGGAAGATGCGCTTAGTAAGGAAAAGTAGTGGCTGCAGAAATGTGAACCTGATTGGGGTGTAGCGGAGGAGTGTGGAGGCATGCACGGGTCCTTGCTGAGGGGCGAGGTCCAGCGTGGACGGAAGGGCATTTCCATGCTGCCGACTCCCTGCAGGGCTAGACAGCTGACCTGTGCTCCTGTGTGTAAGTGTAGCATGGGCTTGGGCAGGCCAGGTGCTTGGAAAGTGGTGCTTGTGTTCACAGCCGTATTATGTTCTTTTCCTCCAGAAATGACAGCTGGTAGATTGGGCTGCTTTGTAGCAAAGTGTTCCTGTCTTAGAAGATAGTGTTCTGGCAAGGGAAGCAAAGGAAGGGTATGGCTGCCTTCCACCAGCATTTCCAGGCCCTGAAGCAGCATCTTGGGTGGTCTGGGGTGTGGCTGCCCTCAGTCAGATGGACCAAACATGTTCACAGGCCTTTCAGAGAAGAGGCAGTGTTAGTGCTCATCCCTCCCTGCCACCTGCCTTTTACCCTTTCTTTCTCCTCCATCCTAGGCACTTCTCCATAACTTCTTACTTGGCACTTTCTGGCCTCGTTTTGTCTCTGGCAGATATCAACCTGAATTCTCCTAACAAAGGTCTGTTGTCCGACTCCATGATGGATGTCCCTGTTGACACGGCAGTGGCTGCCCAGACTCCGGCTGTCGAGGGTCTGACGGAAGCTGAGGAGGAGGAGTTGAGGGCCGAGCTCATAAAGGTTCTGTGTCTTGGCTGGCTGTCCTGGGGTACATGAGGGCAGAGTGCTGGCTGTGCCCTGGAGAAACTGCTCTTTGCAGCCCTGGCTGTGTCTGTGCCCAGCCCCTCATGGGTGCACACGGGCAGCTGCTGGCGCACACCACCCACTGGGGGCTTCTCTGTTGGAGTTAACACCTGACATTTTCAAGACGCCACAATCTTATTGCCCCTGGATCTTAATTTCTCTTTCAAAAACACCTTTTTGTAAAAAATACTTAATGTGATCTTTTTAAAGTGAAAGTCCTTTAAGAGAAAATAGGAATTAAGAACAAAAGCCTTTAAATTTAATTTTTATTCATACCCACTAACAAAGAGTTTCTTTTCTCTGTGTGATGCAGTCTGACAGTGACTCAGTTGATATTCCAGAGTCTGGGAAATGGTCTTGTGAATATCTGACTGTGTTTGTCACAGGCCTCTGCTGTCTCCAGAGACAAGCCCCATCTTAATGCATCCCCGCCCCGTCCGAGGTCTGAACAGAGCTGGTTGTGCAGACCGGTCTCAGCCAGGACCAGGTTTCAGGTCACAGGAAAGCATGTGGCTGTTTCTGAATTGAACAGCAGTTAAGAGAGAAGCAGTAAGAAGTCCAAGGACATGAATGCTTTGTATTTTACTTCAAATATGTTGGCATTGAGACTAAAGCCACCAGGTCTTTTTCAGAATTGGATTGCAGAGTAGAGTCACTCTTATGTTACTTAAAACTTTAAACTTGCATGTTCCAGGACAATATGACCATGTTCTTCAGAGCCCTGTTCGTCATGACACCAGTGGAGTCTTCTGATCACTGGTTGTAACTGATTGAGTGACTGGTAATAGTCTGGCCTTAGATGATACTGTGTTTTTAAATTATTTATTGTTTCAACTATTTTCTAAAGCAGAATATAGGGATATTCGGGGCTCTACATACACTGTTTTTAGTGCCTTAATCCAAACAAGCACTTTTTTATTTAAAACAACAACAACACATTTTATTGATTTTTTACAGAGAAGAAGGGAGAAGGATAGAGAGTTAGAAACATCGATGAGAGAGAAACTTTAATCAGCTGCCTCCTGTACACCCCCTACCACGGATGTGCCCACAACTAAGGTACATGCCCTTGACTGGAATCGAACCTGGGACCCTTGAGTCCACAGACCAGCGCACTATCCATTGAGCCAAACCTGTCAGGGCAAACAAGCACTCTTTAAAGAAAGGGACTGTTCACATAGGAGCTGGAAATGCCGAGAACTCTGGTAAGTTCTAATGGAGGTTTCCTTCTCGTGTCACTTTTTTTCTTTTTTAGAAAATACTTTCATTGAACTTTAGAGAGACAGGAAGGGGGAGGGAGAGACAGAAACAATGTGAGAGCTGCCTCCTTCACAACCCCCGCTGGGGATCAAGCCCACAGTCTGCACATGTACCCGATGGGAATGTTACCAGCACCCTCTCGGGATGGGGACGACGCCCAACCGAGCCACACTGGCCCGGGCTATTTTCCTCCTTTTTTAAAGACTTGAGGAGGTTCAGGATCCTTGAACACAAAAGTGAATTTACTTTTGGCTTGTGGAACTGGCTATTGCCAAGGCCTGGAGCTGACCTCAGGAGCACAGACACTGTGATTGGGCTGGTTCATGTCACCTGGGTTTCTGGCCATCTGTCTGCTCCGCTTCCTTCCTGCTGCATAAGGAGCTCCCCCGCCCCCATGCAAATGGGGCTGGCTGCCAGATGTTCTAGCCTCTGCTGTCCAAGCCCAGAGGAAGAGGGCTTCTCTCCTCTGACCCTGTGCCCGGCCCAGGGCAGAGCTCTGGGAGGCCTTTCTCAGTCTCCCCCTGGTTGGCATGGTGATCGGTAGCCCTAACAGAGCCACTTGGCTTGGGGTGAGACAGTTGTGCAGAAGAAGTTGTATTGGTACCAGACAAAAACATGTCTGCTGGTGACGCTATTTCTGAGCTGTGCTAGGTTTCGGTAAGGGGACAGTTCTTAGGTAACTGAGAACCCGGTATCGCATTGTATGAGAATGTCAATCACTTCCTGCGAGAGTGGAGCTAATCATGTCAACTTCGTGCTTGTGCAGGTGGAAGAGGAAATTGTCACCCTGCGCCAGGTCCTGGCAGCCAAGGAGAGGCGCTGCGGAGAGCTGAGGAGGAAACTGGGCCCCTCTGCTTCGGAGGGCCTGAGGCAGAGCCTGTCCAGGAGCTGGCACGACGTGCAGGTCTCGAGCGCGTAGGTGCTGCTCTGTGGCAGGGCGCCCCGTGGTTGGAGAGCGAAGCACAGTGTGGTGCCTCTGTCCTGTCGATGGGGTGTTAGTTCTTGAGGACTAGGTGCCTCCCAGGAACGGGGACCAAATGCGCCTGTTTGGAAGCAGCCAGCCAGGAGCCTTGCAACCTTGAGCTAGCACCTATGCTCGCATTTACTCAGCTCAGTCAGATGTTTTGTAAAAGGTGGATGGACACAGCTAGTTGTCCAAGTGGAAATAGACAAGAATATGTGTCGAGTCCAAATTTGAGAGCACACGAATGAGGTCCTTGATGAGACTGACTCTGCTGTGGTCCCCAGAGCGGAGCGTCTGCCCTGGTGGACACGAGTCCTTAGGTGGTGTGATCAGCCCAGGCCGCTCACAGATGTGCTCAACTCTGACCTCAGGCGGCGCGGCCCTGTGGCTCCTCAGTGACCTTCCGAGGTGAGGGCGGAGCCCCCTGTCTGAAAGGCCTTCCCCACAGAGAGGCAGCCACTCGCCATAAGTCTCACCTGGAAAAACCCCGGTTCCGTCTTAGGAAATGATAGGCTCTGAACCCCAAAGGGTGACTGCCACCAGTGCCCTCACAGCAGTGTTCCCCAAGAGCCATCTTCCATTGAGTGACCCAGGCACTCCCTCGGCCTGATGGGAAAGAACCGGTCTGTTCTGTCGCCTCCCCCGGCCCCACCGGGGCGGCATAGCAGGTGCTAAGCAGAAGCCGCGGCCCTGTCCTCTGTTTGCGGACTGTCTGCTCCTGCCAGTCCATGCTCCGTTGGCCCTGGAATTTCACTTGCAGGTTGAAACCAGAGTTGAAAGTTTTTCTAAACAATTCACCACAGACTTTCTGTTTTTAGCTATGTGAAAACGTCTGAGAAACTTGGAGAGTGGAATGAGAGAATGACCCAGTCGGACCTGTGAGTGCCTTTGCCATCAGCACCTCCCTCCCCTCTCTTCTCAACACACCTCTCAGGGGCAAGCGAGCTGTGTACACTGGGCTCAAACCTAACTGATTTCCTGGCTCCTTTTCATAATGTTTTTCCCCTCTTAAACACGAATGAAACGACCCTTCATTCACGTGGCCACCAGACCACACAGAACACACCTCTTTGCCTGGCACCATCCATTAAAGAAGAGCCTGGGGCCCTAGCCAGTGTGGCTCGGTGGATAGAGCGTTGGCCTGTGGACTGAAGGGTCCCAGGTTTGGTTCCGGTCAAGGGCACATGCCCGGGTTGTGGGCTCGATCCCCAGTGGGGGGTGTGCAGGAGGCAGCCAATCAGTTTCTTTCTCTGACCATTGATGTTTCTACCTCTCTCCCTCTTCCTCTCTGACATCAATAAAAATATATTTTAAAAAGTGCCTCTGGATGGCCAGCAGCCTCTCTCCTCAAAGACTCCTCAGCTTTTAAAGGCGGGGTGTGGCTGATAGCATTCGCATCAATGTAGATGGTGGCTTTTTTTTTGGTCCTGCTTCCTTCCCCTGTAGACCTCGTTCCAGCTGCAGGGCCTGTGGAGCTTCACTAGTTCTTAAGGATTCTTCAAGTCAGGGTTGGTGTAGGCCGTGCCCGTGGGTTCCTGAAGGAGTCCCTTGGCCTGAGAGGCTCCGAGCTGTCAGCCACACAGAAGCAGCAGTGCAGGATACGGTAGAGCTCTGGTTGAGAATCACGGTGATGTACTCTCTGAGATCCTTCGACGAGATAATAGAACTTCATCAGATCATAACTCTTCAAACCTTGTGGGGCAGTGTTTAAGAACGGCCACTTTCTGGTGTTTTTCCGTCTTGTTCAGACGGAAGTGCTGTCATGGTTGCCAGCAGAAAGCCCGTCCGTGTTGGGCTTCTGGAGGTGCCTGAGACCCCATGTGGGGCCTCTGCAGCCTGGTGTGCCCAAGGGCCTCTGACTGTGCCTGTTTTCTGCTGTTTGTGCAGTTTGGTAGACTGTGGCGGTGCATGTTGTAGCTGTGGGCAGGATTCGGCGATACTGCCGGGGCCACTCTGGTTGTCACTAGATCACTCGGTGCAGACTTCATCAGGAAATCGCCTTTGGAGACTTCGGTGATGCTCTAAAACCAGCCAACGCCCCGTTTCCAATAGCTGCAACGCACACTCCCGGGAGAGGAGTCCATGGCTCTGGGCATGGACATGTGGCCAGCAGCCTGGCCTTGCCGTGCATTTCACCAGGCACTGCTGTTCTCCCGAAGTTTCGCGCTGGTTCTGTCGGTGGGAAAGTCCTCAGATGCTTCCAGGCTGAAGGCGTTTCTAAACAATTCCCCACAGACTGTTTTTAGCTATGTGAAAACTTCTGCAGGGACCGCCCAGGAGGAGGGCCACAGGCCTGGGTGCTTGGCCGGAGCCCCCATGGTGTCACTGCAAGATAGTTGGCCCAGTGTCCGAGGGGCAAATGCAATGGGGTGAGCCCATCTCCTCAACTGTGGGTCCTGCTCATGGATCCGTGCTGGAAGGAAGCAGGTTAAGTGCTAGTGATCTTGTCAGCCAACACCACACCCCCTTTTCCCCCTTTTTAAACATTTTTATGGATTTCAGAGAGGAAGGGAGAGGGAGAGATAGAAACATCAGTGATAAGAGAGAAGGATTAATTGGCTGCCTCCTGCACCCATGTGCCCTGACTGAGAATCGAACTGTGACCTCCTGGTTCATCGGTCAACACTCAACCACTGAGCCATGCCTGCTAGGCCTTTTTTTTTTCAAGTTCATCCAACGAATGAATTGATTTTATCATATACAACCTAACCCCCCAGCCCCAGTAGCTTAAGTGGAAGAGTGATACAGTGCTTAGAGTGATGCTGGGCCGTCTGGGCGTGCTTCACTCCCGGGCCTCTGGGTTTCTGATATGCTCTTGGCTACAGGCGAAAGGACGGATGGAATATAAGACAGGGGAACCATGCCGAGACTGGTTTGGCTCAGTGGATAGAGCGTCAGCCTGCGGACTGAAAGGTCCCGGGTTCGATTCCAGTCGGGGGCATGTACCTTGGTTGCGGGCACATCCCCAGTGGGAGGTGTGCAGGAGGCAGCTGATCGATGTCTCTCTCTCATCGATGTTCTGGCTCTCTATCCCTCTCTCTTCCTCTCTGTAAGAAATCGATAAAATATATTAAATAAAAAAGAGAGAGACGGGAACCGTCAACCCTATTGGCACGTGATACGAAGACCAGACACTAGACTAAGGGCGCATTTGGGTTAGGCCCCTCTTTAAAAACATGTTTTTGTTGATTTAAGAGAGGAAGAGAGGGAGAGAGAAACATTGGCTGCCTTCTGCATGCCCCACACTGGGGATCAAGCCTGCAACCCATGCATGTGCCCTGACCAGGAATCAAGCTGTGACCTCCTGGTTCGTAGGTCGACTCCCAATCCAAGTCGAGCCAGCTGAGCCATTGAATTCCTTTTATAGGTAGATCTTAACTGAAGCCGAACTGAGAGGGCACCACGTGAATTCCGCAGTCCCAAGTTAACTCAGTATTGTCACTATATTGATTTTTTCGCTTGCAGACAGAAAGCACAGCTAAAGACTGTCCATCTAAGGGTGGGGAGGTCTTGCCTGTCGAGAAGCCCCTGTTCCAGGCCCACCAGCCAGGGCTCCCATGGAGCTCTGGGGCCTTCCGTTCTCCCCACACTGGCTTTGTTCTCAGCTCCTCCTTTTTCCTGTGAGGGGGCTCCCTGCCCACTGTGGGTCTCATGGGTTCTTGCTATGGCCAGGAGCCGGGGTCTCTGGCCGAACCTGAACTACCTGCCCATCCTTGTTGGGGATGGGGCAGCCTCCAAGGGAAGGCCCAGCAGAGGCTGGTATTTTTCGGGACTCTACACCATCTTTTCCTAAAAGGTGGAAGTGATTCCCAAAGTGAGCGCAGGGCTGCATGGACAAGCATGCAAGCATAGTGGGGTGACTTACCTGATTCCGCTCTGGCTCTGCCCCAGGCCTGTCCCATTGGTCTCTGGTGGGTGGTGCCTTTGGAGTCGCCCACAGGATGTCCTCGTCACCAAAGACTCGAGGTGCAGGCCCACGCTTTTCTTTTCGGCTTCACTTTCCCAGCTTCGCCTCATGAGCACAAACAGAGGTCTGTAAGGCTCTTATTTTTTACCAGAGGCCCGGGGCATGAATTTGTGCACGGGTGGAGGCCCTTGGTGTGGCCTGCAGAAATCAGGCTCCAGCCTCACAGCCCTGCAGCCCCGCCTTGGCCTGGCGCCACCCCCTCGCCTGCTCCACCATCCCGCTGTGGTGCTGTGGTGCTGCTCTCGTCAGTGCTCATCAGGGCTGGCAGCACCTCCACTGCTGTCCGCTGCCAGCACCACATCACTGATGCCCATCATGTTCTGTGCCGCCCCCCTGGTGGACAGCACACATCATAACGAGTGATCAAATGACTGCCCAAAGGAACAATTTGCATATTAGGCTTTTATTATATAGGATTTCTGATTTTTAAAAAAATATTTTTATTGATTTCAGAGAGGAAGGGAGAGGATGACAGAGACAGAAACATCAGTGATGAGAGAGAATCATTGATCAGCTGCCTCCTGCACGCCCCACACTGGGGATCGAGTCTGCAACCTGGGCTTGTGCCCTTGACTGGAATTGAACCCAGGACCCTTCAGTGCACATGCCAATGCTCTATCCATTGAGCCACACCAGCCAGACCAGGCTCTTCTTTAAATCCTCAGGTGCTGGCACTGTCCTCCACACTCGCTGTATGGGAAAAGGCTGGGCTGGGGGTGTCTGCTGGATTTTTAAAGAGGTGGTGTGTCCTTTGTCCCCTTGCACCTGGGGTTTTTGAGTGTCCGTGGTTCTGGTGCGGAAGTCTGTTTCTTGCAGATAATACGTTAACTCCTTTGAAATGAAAGCACTTCCTTAGGTGAGCCTTGGGTTGGGGGTGCTCAGGCAGGCACTGTGAGTTGTGCCCCAAAGAAGCTCTCGAGCCATTCTTCCACCGGCTGTGCTGGGAGCTGCTGCCCGCCCTGCCTTACCTGCTGCTTCGCCTGGGTTGCCGGTCTTGGTGGGCGCTGAGGCAGGTCTTGGTGTGGGTCGCAGCTCCAGGCAAAGATGCTGTCAGGTGCGAGGGTGGTGGCTGCCCCGTGTGTTGGTCGGGTAACTGTGCTTCTTCCTCCAGCTACAAGAGGACTCAGGAGACTCTCTCTCAGGCGGGACAGAAGACTTCAGCTGCCCTGTCCACCATGGGCTCTGCCATCAGCAGGAAGCTTGGGGACATGAGGTAAGAGGCTCCCCTCCCCCAACCTCCATCCTGAGGCCTGGACTAGTCAGCTGAGGTTTTCAGGCTTTTAGACCTCTTAGAGGTTCTGTGGGGAGCCTGCTGAGCCCCAGGGCTCAGGTGCACATCCCTCAGCAGCCCCTCAGCAACCATAGGTGTGGCCACGCCAGCCCCCAGCCAGTCAGTTCGTGACCTTCATTTGCAGCGTGTGTCTGCTCCCGCTGGCTGCCTCTTTGCCTTTTTATATTGCTCAGGGGCACGTGGTCACTGTGCCTGTGGCTAACTTCTGATGATGGGGATCGGGGGAAAGCTAGTGCTTCTCTTGGAAGTTCCGTGGGGAGAATGACTACAGCCTAGAGGGCAGCATCTGGTGGGCGCCTGCCAGGACAGGTCCAGAACGAACTCGGTGTCTCCTCAGAGTGTGTGATCAGGTATCAGACAGTGTGGCCACAAGCGGGGCCCCAATAGAATGTTCTCCCTCATAGCCACCAAAGGTGCTTCTTGCAGAAGACCTGGGGCCAGGGAGGGAGTGCGGAGCGGCTCAGGCACGTGGTGACTGCTGGGCAGCATCCGTCCCAGCCTGCTGGCTGTGCCCTCTGCAGAGGCCAGGGTGTGGGTTCTGGCTCAGGTGCCCCTGCCGTGCCCTTGGCAAGGCCTCTCTCTAGAAGTTGTTAGGACAAGATACGCATCACTGAGTAATGGTGGGCAGTGCAGGCCATCGCCAGCGCTCTTGGTCTGACCCCACACTTGGGACCAGGCCCCTCACTTCTTCATTTCAGGGAATGCCTCCCTGTAGCCCCCATCCCATCCTGAGAGAAACACTGGCTGTTGTTGCCCGTGGGTTTGGGTATTGAGTGTGGCGTTGCGGTCCACCGTGCTCTGACCCCTCCTCTCTGCCCTGCTCGGGTTGGGCATTTCCCTGGCTCACAGACCTGCAAGTGCCAGTTAGCAAGAGGTGAAGACAGATGCTAACAACCCCGGGACCCAGCCCAGCAGAGGACAACTTGTGCCAGAGCCCTGCTCACTTGTTTGTTCTTGTTAGTTCTCACCCGAGCATGTTTTTCCCCCATTGGTTTTTAGAGAGAGTGGAAGGAAGGGAGAGAGAGAAATGTTGATGTGAAAGAGACACATTGATTGGTTGCCTCTCACATACATCCCAACTGCAGGGCCGGGGATTGAAACTGCAACCCAGGTATGTGCCCTGATCAGGAATCAAACCCGTAACCCTTGGGCATCAGGCTGACATTCTATCCACTGAGCCACACCAGCCAGGGCTCTGCTCACCTTTTATTTCTGTTTGTCATAATGTTCCTTCTCCAACTTTATTTTGAAAAATTTCCAACTTCTGGAGAAGCTCAGTAACTATAGGCAGTCTGTGTGTTCCTCCCGTGCCTGGACTGCACCTTCCCACACCGGGGTCCTGGCTGCTTCCGGTAGCGGGGGTCCCTGTGGGATGCCCTATAATGCACGCCTTGCCCGCTGTGGACTCCCCCCGCTTCTGCTCTGCGCTCTCAGCAAGGAGGGTCTGTGGTGATTGCTCCCACAGGCTGCACACTGAGCTGCTAGGACTTGCCTGGGTATGTTCCTGTAAGGAGACCCGTTTGAAATTAGATGGGACAGCGGCACTGCTGCATTCTGGGATGCCTGCTTTGGCCACCTGAGCCGTGCTGTGGTAAGCCCGGTGATGGAATTTTATTGCCCCTGGTGACTTGGCCGTACCCCCAGGGCCTGCCGAGGGGCTGGCCCTCCCAGGGCCCTGGAATGAGCAGCAGGCCAAGTGCCTAAGCGGTGTGGTCACAGCATTGAGGGAGCAGTAAGAATCTGCTGCATGCGTGCGCCTCTGCTGGCTTGTGCTCCTCTTCTCTCCCTCGTGCGTGTGTTCATGGCGTCCTGGGGGACATGGGGGGGGGTAGGCCGCTTCCATGGCAGTTGTGCACACTGCTGCTCTGGGAGGACTGCACGTCCTTTGTCTGCTCCGGGAACCGGGATTGGCCACTAACCTGTGGCATGGCCAGCAGGGAGCAGGCTTCTGGTCACAGTGACGCCGGGATGGCCTGCACATGGTGACCGCACTGTACCTGCCACTTGTGCAGTTTGAACATGCGCTGTGTGTGCCTGGGGCAGCGGGGTGGGGGAGGAGAGCAGGTTGAGTTCAAGATGCTTAGAGGGATTGACCTGGTGTGTCTCACCCTGGAGACTTCTGTATTCCAGTGGTGCTGTGAGCATTGGCTGCTCAGGGTTTCTTTCTTTTTCTTTTTCTTTTTTTAAATATATTTTATTGAGTTTTTACAGAGAGGAAGAGAGGGGTATAGAGTTTTAGAAACATCAATCAGCTGCCCCTTGCACACCTCCCATTGGGGATTTGCCCGCAACCAAGGTACATGCCCCTGACCGGAATCGAACCCGGGACCCTTCAGTCTGCAGGCCTACGCTCTATCCACTGAGCCACACCGGTTTTGGCTGGCCGCTCAGGGTTTCTGATGTGTCCCTGTTGTCTTGCTATGTGGTCTCAGGTGGTTGAGGCTGAGGCCCATTAACTTCCCCAGCTTAGAGTTTGAGGTTGCAAGTTCACCACTTCTTGCATGAAAGGTTTAGAGAGGTTTGCCCCATGAGTTTGGGGCTAGGTGATCCCTCATGGGCCACTGCATTGAGGTGTTCAGGGCCAGGTCTCTCAGGAAGCGGCTGTGCTGGAGTCCACAGTGCACTGTCCAGGAGCAGCCCTGCCTGGCCTTTTGCATGCCCTGGGTGTGAGGTGTGGGCGTGGGAAAGGGGGCTGCATTTAGGCCGGGGATTCGGTCTCTACCTTCTCTGACACTAGCTCTCCACCCACAGAGAGGAGCAAGCCCTGCTGCCCACCAAGTGGTAGGAACACATCAGGCCCTGTGACTGCACACGTCTTGCTTCCAAAATGACTTCCATGTTGGGGCCGCCTCCAGAGAGGAGGAGGCGGCCATGTCCTTCCTGGGCCCCATCTGTGGACGCATGCTCATCTCTGGGATGGCTTCCGTTACCCATGGCGATGGGCCCAGAGTGCAGGGGATTCGGCCCGAGGGTGCCAGGTCCTGTCGCAGTAGGTGCTGTTTGCGTGTGCAGCGTGTCACCGGGCATGGCTGGCTCCTCCAGGTGGCGGAACCCAGCGGGCGTATCCCACACCTCTGCACTGCTCCACCCTTCGGGGCTTTTCCTTCCAGCCTCTGCATGGGTACAGGCACATGGGTCCCTTGTGCGTGATCGTATCCAGGAAGGCAGAGCCATGGGGCTGGGCAGTTTGCAGCTGTGTGCGTGAGGGAGCAGCAGCCTCCTGGAGTTGGGGCTTGGGAGACGAGGTGGAGGCAGGGCGCATGTGCTGTCCTGCCAGGCAGTGTCCAGACCAGAGGCTGGCTCTAGAGCTGAGTGCAGGGGCAGGGCGGGCATTGGCCTTCTTCCCTAACATTCGTTTCTTCTCTCTTCCTGCTGCCAACTGTCAGGGCGCGTCCTTTCTCACAGTCCTTTAGGTAAGACTGATGCTGGGCACGTCTGTGCACAGCTTCTCTGCTTCAGGCCAGGTGGGCTCTGCCAGCCTGTGGGAGGCTGTTCTGGACAAAGGTGGTGAGGGGCCGGAACTGCCCAAGGCGGCCCCTGTCCAGCACAGTGAGGCCAGCACTGCTCCGGAGCACACTGGCTTCTCGAGCTGTGGTCCCTGAGGGGTCATCCCTGGCCATATGGTCAGTATAGGGACGCCTTTCCAACAAAGACATGCTCCTACCAGGGCACTCTTTTAAAAAAATATATTTTATTGGTTTTTTTACAGAGAGGAAGGGAGAGGGATAGAGAGAAACATCCATGAGAGAGAATTATTGATCAGCTGCCTCCTGCACACCCCCAACTGGTGATGTGCCCACAACCAAGATACATGCCCTTGACCGGAATCGAACCTGGGACCCTTCAGTCCGCAGGCTGATGCTCTATCCACTGAGTCAAACCGGTTTCGGCCTACCTGGGCACTCTTGCTGGCCTCCTCCAACCAACAACAGAGTGTCCATCTAAGTCCTTCGTGCGTCGGCGCTGTCCCTCCCTCAGCTCCCCTCCCCCCAGTTTAGACCCCAAAAGAGCCATGTTCACGTAGGAGGGTCGGACTGACCTTGGGCTGCCGTGCTTCCTGCATCTTGTTTCCCTTGTGATTGTTTTTCAGTATGTTTTTATTGATGTCAGAGAGAGGAAGGGAGAGAGAAGCATTAGTGATGAGAGAGAACCATCCATCAGCTCCTCTTGCATGCCCCCTACTGGGGATCGAGCTTGCAACCTGGGCCTGGGCCCTGACTGGGTGGAAATTGAACCACGGGCCTCTTGGTTCATGGGTGGATGCTCAACCACAGAGCCACGCCATCTGGGCGAGTTTCCCTCGTTTATGACTCGAGGGCCCTCTGCACCAGGCAGCACGATGCCCAGTCAGTGTTGTCGGCAGCTCTCGGTGCCTCCGGCGCTCGGAAGTCACGCTCTTCTGGACCCTCAGTCCAGAGCTCTCTGACCGCGTGCTCTCACCCGAAGCACTTGGGCTTGGTTGTTTCTCTTTTTCTGAAGTCTTTAACTTGCTGTGAAGTAAGGAAGGACATCTGACGCCCATTTGTCCAAAGCTTGTCTAGCACCCCAGTCTGAGGTCTCCATCAGCAGTGTCGCCCCTCAGGAGTGACTGGAGCGGGGAGAGGAGCTGTGGGTCGAGATTTCCTCCTGGTGAGAGGCCTTACCAGGCTTTGTGCTCGTTCCAGTTGTGGGGGGGGAGGGTCCTGCCACCCTGCTGCAAAGGTGGGCTTCTCCGTGGTCTGGGCTGAGGAACCGTGAGTGCTGATCTGTCCTCACCCTAACTTGCTTCCTTCTCTGCTTTTGCCATGCTCGCAAGCAGCAGCTACTCCATCCGCCACTCAAAAAGTATGCCAGCCATGAGGTAATGTGTGCTCTCGCCTGGAGCTCCCGGAGTCGGGGGGGGGGGGGGGGGGGGGGGAGCACTCGGCTTCCCATGCCTCTAAACGGGTTAGGGTTGGAAAGACCCTCTGAGACCAAAGAACTAGTGGGGCGTGCCAACGGGGCTCCGTCTGCAATTTTCCAGGACTGCCTGCAGGGTTGGGCTAAGGAAGGGCGGAGGCTCCCACACCTACCTGGCATCCAAGAGGCAGCAGGTGTCTCCAAGTCGTCTTTATTTTATTTTTTTCCCGAGAGGAAGGAAGAGACATAGAAACAAATGATGAGAGAGAATCATGGATCAGCTGCCTCTTGGCACGCTCCCTACGGGCGGTCAACCCCACATCCTGGCATGTGCCCTTGACCGGAATCAAGCCAGGGACCCTTCAGTGCACAGGCCAGTACTCTATCCACTGAGCCACACCAGCTAGGGCTCTCCAAGTCTTTTTATGGAGATGTTCTATCTGCTTTGTGGCCAGTTTTCTCCCGCTAGCTCTGCAGTGCAGCCATGGCTCTCAGCGGAGCCCATCCTTGTTACAAGACTAGCAGCTGCCACACCACAGAGCTGGCTGGGAGTCCTTGATGGGTGGGTGGTCTGCAGAGCCCAGGGCTCTGAGCAGTGAGGGGAGCTGGATCAGACCAGGCCAGCTTGCTCCTGCAGCCTCCTTACCACCCTCTTTTCCCAGAATGCCTTGTTTTTTTTCTGGCTTCGTTCTAAGAGATGAGTGTGAACACACACACAGCTTTCCTAACCCCGGCACGGGTGCATTTACCAGTAGGGTGGAGCAGAGGCGAGCCCCGTGTTCACCCGCTGCCCAGGGCTCTGCAGCTCACCCATGTCAAGTCGGTCTCACCAGCTGGTAGCATTCAGATCTCTGTCCGTGTGGCTGGTGAGCGTGGCTGACCCAGTTCTGACCTGGTGCCACCTCTGGAGTGACCTTGGCTGGGTTCTCTGCAGGGGTGCCCCTCCCCTTCTGTCTGGTCACGTCTTTGCAGTGAAACCTCAGGATGTACTTAAGAGTCTTTCTGGAGGAAAACCCTAATCCTGAGGCCCTTCAAGTTCAGGATGCCGCACAGCTGTGGGCTCCTCACACTGACTGCTCCCTCTCTCTTTGAAGGAATTCTGCCACCTTCAAGTCACTTGAAGACCGAGTTGGGACCATCAAGGTAACTACCTGGATCGTTTGCTTCTCCTGATGGGTGGGACTTGTCAGGTAGACTGACTGAATCATTGAAGACTCCCAGGCAGTTAAGGGAGCTAACACGGAAGCCCTGTTCCTTCCATCCTTTCCCCAGAACCAGCACTGCCATGTCCCTGCCAGGATGTGCCATGGGCCCATCAGGACAGAGAGCAGTTCCTTCCCACAGGCCCTCACGGTGCCTGCCCTCCACCCGCCCTGCCCGCATCCACTGGTCTCTGCTCCGTTTGTCACTTTGTGATCCCAGAAAGTCATAAGTGGGGCCGTGGGTGTGCTGCAGCATTCCCTGGAGATGCATCCAGCCTGTTGCCGGGTCAGCGGTGTGTTCTCTTGTGCTAGTCAGCGTTCATGGTTTGTGAACTTGTGTAGAGAATTGAACACCATGAGTTCCAGGGGCTGCCTGGCACTGTGGGCTCTGTCTCAGGTTTTTCCTTCCGATCTTTTCCCATCTGTAGTCTAAGGTGGTGGGTGGCAAAGAGAATGACAGTGACAGCTTCCCCTCCCCGACTGGGAGTGGCGACAAGCCCCTGCCCGACCACGTGCCCTTCTAAGCCTGAAGCAGCTTTGCCGGCCACGGAGCAAGTGCGGGCCTGCCCTCATCGCCACGACAGCCACTGCGCAAGGGAGCAACGGCAGCCGCAGGAGGACATGGAGCGCTTTGAGGACAGTCATGCCGTCACATGTGGACGTGGCCCCTGCACGTGCATGACTTAAGAGAACAGTCTTGTGTACAGATGCTTCACACTAAAGTCATAGATGCAACAATCACTATGCCATCCTTCCTGGGGCCAGGAAGTGGACGGCAGGGGGCGGACAGCCACGTTCCCTTGGCGGTCATGTTCATGAGAATGCCGAAACACTGGGAAGGGCGGGTGGACAGTGAGTGGTGTTTCTAACTCTTCCTTCCCTGAGCCACGAAGGCAGCGTCTTCCAGAAGCCCCATCTGCCTGCAGCTTTCGTTTCACAATGCTAACCGAGAAAACTGTCCATTTCCTGAGATCCTCCAAAAAGAAGCTATCTGCTGCCTCATTCTCACACTAACGATCGAGCTTTAGCAAAAGCAAATCTTTATTTTTTAAAAGCAGTAGATTTTTCAAAATTTAAAATTAAGCAAAACAGCTTTAGTCTCATCATTATAGGATTATTTGTTTGGATTCAAGCTAAAATACAAGCCTTATATCACCTAATGCTTATTTGTTTATAATGTTTTTATATGTACTAGTGAGAGTGCTTTAGCAGGTTCTGGCACTGACAGTTCTGCATCTGCCTGAGGGGCTGCGAGCCTGCGCCAGTGGTGTGTTTTGTTTCACTAACGCACTCCCAGTGTGTGGGACTCGCTCTTCTCTCCTCAACAGCCCTCGCCAGTGGGCTCCTGGGCCTCAGGGGGTGGCGATAGGAGAAAGAAAAGCCAGCACCTTACAGTGCTGCCTTGCTGCCCTCGTGGGCCAGGCCTGACCAGGCGCAGCTGGCACGTCACTCAATGGCTCCAGCTGTGTTGGCTGTTCGGGTGCACTCGAGAAGTGCACGGACCCTGCAGGGCAGGGTCTGGGTCAGCTGGACCTCTGCTGTTGCCTTTTCTCAGGAGCTACAAAGATCTCTCCCATTTTGAAGCTGCCATACCCAGCAGCCTCACCCAGGGCCCCAGGTGTCAGTGTGTCTGGAGGGGCAGCTTGTGCCTTCCTGGTTCTCGGCGGGCCCAAGCCTGGCCTGCCTGCGAGTGATGGGTGCACACTGGGGAGAAGCCAGCAGCTCAGTGACCGCTTTGGTCGACTGCTCTGGGCCTGAGTGTCTGCTGGTCACCTCACGCTGGGGAACCATGGTCCACTTGGTGTTCTTCCTTCAGAGTCAAGAGTCTCAGACTCCTGGTGGAGGCAGGAGGCAGGGCTACAACTGATTTGTCTTTTCCATAAAGTAAATAATGGGCAATTTGCTAATAAAGCATTCCTTCAGCTTGTGCGACATGTCTGTCTTCCTGCAGAAAGGTGATGGAAGAGTGGCACAGGAGCTAACAGGCATTCCTGGTGTTGTGGGCCTGCACCCTTGGGGAGGCAGGGAGGAAGTAGGTGATCAACTGGGGGTTCTTTGGGGAAGGGGCGTGGAGGCTGAGGGGGAACTAGCCACATTACAGATTGGGTCAGGGCTGAGCTGCAGGAGTTGAACAAGCAGCCAGGATTCGCTGCATGGAAGGAGGTCGCCCGGGGGAGAACTGCTGCTTGGAGTCCCCACACATGTAGCTGCAGTTATCGGAGCTGGTGCTGCGCACGGCAGCCACACATCCCATGGGCAGGTGTAGGGGGTTCACGAGGGAATGGACTTGTTGACCTATCCTCGCAACCCCACGCTAGAGCTGGAACCACATGAAGGGAGTGACCAGTACATGACAGTCCACAAAGAAGAAGGAGTGGAGCAAAGAGGAGCTGTTTGTCCGGTGGGCAAACAGCTGCCAAGGCAGATCTGCCTCTAATGGGGATCCAGCGATTTGAAATGACAAGGCGTGCTTAGAAACCTGCCTGTTCCCTCGCCCATCCCCCACCCAGCCTCTGTGGCCATTATTATTTGTCCCATGTCCAGTGTTTCTTCGTGTAGTAATGTATTCTCATTCCCTTCACCTTCTTGCTCCAAAGATGCCACACAGTGCCCTTATTGCTATGTCCCGAGTGCCAGCTGCACCCACCTCTGAGGCCCTTGTGTGAGCCTCCATTTCTTGCTGCCCGTGGCTTCCCATGTGCCCGTTCCTGATGTCTTGGGTGTTCACAGTAGGAAACTCCTTTACTGGAAACATTAGACTTTTGGGGTCAGAAAGCCAGCCTTGCCCCAGATGTAACAGCAGGAAAAGTTGGTGACTTCCAATTATCTAATAATCCCCAGCATGACAGTTCATTACAGCAGCTGGTGTCGAGGGCAGAGAGCACATGGCTGCCAGCAGTCAGCATTCCCCCTCATTTATGTTGGAAGTGGGTTTCACATAGTCTTTGTTAAGCATTTCAATGGCCTGGGGCCCTGGCTGGTGTGGTTCAGTGGTTAGAGTGTTGGCCTGTGCACCCAAGGGTTTAATTCCCAGTCAAGAGCACAGGCTCAATCCCCGCCCTGGTGCAGGAGGCAACCAATTGATGTATCTCACATCAATGTTTCCCATCTTCCCTTCCATCAACTTTAAAATCAATGGGAAAATATCCTGAGGTGAGAATAAACAAAAATAAGCAAAAGAAAAAACGAGGGGAAGATGGCCTAGGCGTTAAAAGTCTGCTTTTGTAGGGTACAAGGTGCATTTCACGTGGACCTTGTCCTAAAGCTGCACTCCATTTGCAGGGAACACAGGGTGTTTCGCTAGGTAACTGGCGAGTGTGTGATGAGCTTTGAGTTTGGAGGCAGAAGTGGTGAGGTGGGTGGAGCCAAGGGCACTACTGGGGCTGGCCTTAGAAGGGAGCAAACCTGGAGAGAGACAATGGGCTCAGACTTACCCAGTTAAAGGGCGTGTGAAGCACAGGGCCTGTAGCTGCTGTCCACATTTGACAGGCATCCTTCCTGAACAGGTTGACTTATTTGTTTAGAGAAAATGCTTAAATTTTTTTTAATTGATTTTAGAACCCGGCCAGCGTGGCTCGGTGGTTGAATGTCGCCCTATGATCCAGGAGGTTACAGTTCAATTCCTGGTCAGGGCACATGCCCTGAGGCGTGCAAGAGGCAGCCAGTCAATGATTCTCATCATTGATGTTTTTCTCTCTCCCTCTCTCTCTCTTACTAAAAATCAATAAAAACTGCTGGAACCAGTGTGACTCAGTGGATAGAGTGTTGGCCTGCAGACTCAAGGGTGCCAGGATCAATTCCAGTCAAGGAATCTTGTTTCTGACTTTCTATCTCTCTCCCTTCCTCTCTGTAAAAAATCAATAAAATATATTTTTTTTAAAAATAAAAATCAATAAAAACTTGTTTTTTAAAATTGATTTTAGAGAAAGGAACATGGGATTTTTGTTGCAGTTACATATATGCTGCATATATGACCAACCAGGGATTCAACCTGCAACCTTGACATATCAGGACAACATTGTAACTAACTGAGCAGTCCAGCCAGAGTTGGTTTGTCTTATATAATAAAGGGGCAATATGCAAATTAACCCTCATGCCCTCACAAGATGGCTGCCTATAACCAGGCTGGCATGGGGTTCGTGAGGGATGACGAAAGGACTGGACAGCAGGCTGCATGGGGACCAGGCCTGTGGGGTTGTGAGGGGCAACCAGGTCAGTGGGGAGGGGGAGTTAGGGCAATTAGGTCAGCAGGGGAGAGCAATTGGGGGCGACCTGGCTGGTGGGGTTGGAAAAATATCCTGAGGAGCAACCAGACTGGCAGGGAGGGGACAGCTATAGGTGATCAGGCTAGCACACAGAGGCAGGGAGGGGTGATCAGGCCGGTGGGGGGGCATTTAGGGGCAACCAGAAAGACAGGCAGGTGAGTAATTAGGAGCCAGCGGTCCAGGATTGTGACTGCCAGGATCAGGCCTAAACCGGCAGTTTAAATCCCTGAGGTGTCCTGGATTGGAGAGGGTGCAGCAGACTGGACTGAGGCACCCCCTTTCGTCCGTGCACAAATTTTGTGCATTGGGCCTCTAGTTTGTTTATAAACATATATTCTAAAATATATTTTATTGATTTTTTACAGAGAGGAAGAGAGAGGGATAGAGAGTTAGAAACATTGATGAGAATCATTGATCAGCCACCTCTTGCACACCCCCCCACTGGGGATGTGCCCGCAACCAAGGTACATGCCCTTGACCGGAATTGAACCCGGGACCTTTCAGGCCAACGCTCTATCCACTGAGCCAAAGTGGTTTCGGCGATATAAACATATTTGTAATGTACTTTAAAAATATATATATATTTTTATTGATATTTTTACAGAGAGAAAGGGAGAGAGATAGCTAGAAACATGAATCAGCTGCCTCCTGCACATCCCTACTAGGGATGTGCCCGCAACCAAGGTACATGCCCTTGACCGGAATCAAACCTGAGACCCTTTGGTCCATAGGCCGACGCTCTATCCACTGAGCCAAACTGCCTAGGGCTGTAATGTACTTTTTATATATCATGCATCTTGCTCATTTTACTTTCAGGAAGCATCACAAGAATTGTCTCATTATGTAGCCTTTGTTTCTATTTTTAATAGATTATTTCACTTCAGTATATCTGTAGACAGGTTTTCATTTTCACTGTTCTAAATAACATCAAGAGCATCACAATGCATACACCTTTTCCTGTATTTGGGGACATTTTCTTAGACTATCCCTACATCAGAACTGCTAGGTCAGGGAGGCACTAAGGCCTGGTTTAATCATTCGTGCTGCTTCCAACACAGATCTATTTTGTTCTTTTCACTCAATTCTGATCCGAAATCTCTCATCCTCTTGAATCAACAGACACAGATATCGGTCTTTCTGTTCCTCGGTTTCCATGGGCCTTTTTCTTGCTGCCTGCCTGGTGTTGCTCAATGTAATGATTGCCGGGATATGTCCAGAGCTCTCTGCCACTTACAGCACTGCGCCTGCGGCAAACTGGACAGTTCAAGATCAGATTGATGACAAAAAGGTGGAAGAAGACAGAGGCCGATAGGGCAGAGTTTGTTGGCAGTTTGGATTTTACTCAGTGTCATAGGAAGCCTTGGATGTCATCAGGCTTCTGAGCAGAAAATGGCCAGTGGGCAAACGTGGAAGTGATGAGGCAGGCGCACTGACCAGGTCTGTTTGGGTGGCTTCTAGGGTGGAAAGTGACAATACCAGTGAACTGGGCAGAGGCAGGCACATGATAAATGGTAGGACTCCTACTCAAAGGGAGTCTAGATAGGAAGGGGTGATGAGCAGGTCTCCCCTCCCTCGGGATCAGTGGGATGAGCACGGCTCGCACCTGCTGAGCAGGGAAGGAGGTGAGTTGTTTGTGGGTGGTTCTGGGAGGGTGGCTGGACGATGGCAAGGGCACTGATGGCTGAGCAGGAAGGAAGTGCCATCTCGTCGCCCCAGGAATGAGCAAACGTCAGTCACAGTGGCTGGGTGGAGGGGTGCCGGCCTGAGGCTCATTTCACACCAGTTGTCTCCGTTCTTTGACAGGATCAGTTCTGTTTCTCTCATGCAGACTCGGCTGCAAGACCAATGCCCGCCCTCTGCGTGGCTCCCGGCGGCACCAGCCCACCCGCCCGAGACGGCGGAGGCGCTGCCGGGGGCCGGGCGCCTCTAGCTCCCCGGTGCCCCCTGCGCCCGCACCCCGGACCTCCCGGGGGCTGTCTCTCCGAACCCGCCCCGGGTGGGCGGGGCCACAGCCTCGCGCTCTGGGCGCAGGCGCCCTGGGCCACGCAGGCCGCTACGAACCGGCGAAGCCCACGTCCTTTCGGGGGCGCGCGCGCCGGTGCGGATGCGTGCGTGAGCGTGCGCGCCTCCGCCGCATCTGCCGGTGCCGCTCCCGCGCCCTCTGCCGCTGCCCCCGCCGCCGCCCCCGCCGCCGCCGCCCCCGCCGTTTCCGCCCGGGGTCCCTGAGGCGCAACCCCGGCTGAGGAGCGCACCGGCCGGCTGCCACCAGCGTCGCGGAGCAGAGCGGGCGGGCGGACGGGCGCGCGGACAGGTGAGCTCGTGGCGGGCCCAGTGGGCCTCCGTCAGTCCGGGAAGACGGCGGGGCGAGGGTCGCGAGGTGTGCGGGGCCGCGGGGCGAGGCGGCCGCGGGTGTGCGAGGCCTCGGGGCGGGGGGCGCGCGCCGCAGCCGGAAATGGCAACCCTCCCTTGGGGCCGGGAGCGGGCGGGGCCGCGGAGGCCGCGGCTGCGAGAGGGCCGGGCGGCGGGCGACCCCCGCGCCGGCAGGAAGGTGAGGGCGGGGCGCAGCGGGCGGCGCCCACACGGCGGCGGCGCGGGGGCTCTGGGGCTCGGGCCGCGCGAAGCCTCGCGTCCAGCCGGGTCCTGCCCGGTCTCGGCGCGCCCATCCCCGCCCGCCGCCGGACGCCTGGGGTCTGCCTTCCTGAGTGTGAGGGTCTGCTGGGACCCAGCGTGTTTGTCCGGTGTGGCGGGGCTCCCTGTCTCATCGCCTAAGAGACGTTTCCCGGAATTCGTTCAGTGTGGCCTACGGAAGCAGAAGTCTCCCTTTCATTTCTGTCTCCAGTTTAGATTTGATTGGGGACGTTTTAATCAGCTGATCATAACCTCAGAGATGCTGTGTCTGAACTGCTACAAATCTGTCCTCACCTAATTGTGTTTAAAAACCGTCTTGATGATAAGAACATCAAATCCAAAATTGCCCCATCTGCTGCCAGGGTTGCATTAAGGTCTTAGGTTTACTCACTTGCTTCTCTTGCTGAAGGTTGCCATGAGTTCTGTGACCTGGGAGATGACATGAGGAGCCAGGCTTCAGGAAACTTTAGAATTGGGCGTGTGTGGGTCTCCTTACACCTGGGTCAGAGCTGGCTCTGGTGGCTCTGGCAGTTCTGCTGGGACTCTGTCTCCCATCGGTCACTGTGGATGGCATGGTGACCAGGGCTGGGTTCCAACAAGATGTGTGTTACGGGACCGAGGGGCTGTGTGTTGAGCAGACACGTGGCGCACGTGGAGGAGACAGCCTTGCTGAGGGACTCCTGCTGTGGAGCTGGGGCCTCTGCTGGGAAGGAACCCTTGGGGCGGATGCCATCAGGCCACCCCGCCCCTCTGTGCCCTGTCTCCTACCACAGCCCCTGACTCACTCCTCCCCCACATCACCTCTTCGCTGGTTTCTGAACAAAGTCACATGTTTTGTCCCCTGACTTCCCACAACTTAATTCTCCTAGTGATCTACTTAATATATTTGTTAAACTTCGTATTTTACTGTAAGGTAAGGTCCATAAGGAGGCTCTTTCGTGCAGAGAGCAGTAGCTGGCAATAGTGATAGTGATAGCTTGATGACCTTTGGACATCATCATGGATTCTGAAGGAGGACCATCAGTTACTGGCAGATTGGAGAGGTGCTTGGGACCGACCTGTAAATCTTTCAACTTCTATAATGATTTCAAAATAAAAAGGTTTTCTCCCAGCCAGCGTGGTTAAGTGATTGAGTGCTGACCTATGAACCAGGAGGTCACAGTTCACTTCCAGGTCAGGGTACATGCCCATTCGGGCTCAATCAATTCTCTCTTATCATTGATGTTTCTATCTCTCCCTCTCCCTTCCTCTCTGAAACCAATAAAAATATATATTAAAATTAAATGGTTTTAAAAGCAGACCTGCCATTGGTAATACATTTGGAAATTTTGTCTTTGATTACCCCCAAAAATCAAAACCTACATGTTAGTCTTAATACTTGGTGGCATTGGTCAATGAAGTGGAGTGAGTGGTCATCCCTTAGCAGAGCCACGTGTCAGTGAGCTGTTCCAGAGACTGCCCTGGCGCCGAGACACCTTCAGGACCGAGGGACTCAGAACTTTCACTCATGCCCACGAGAATTTGCAGGGAGTGGGTTTTCCTGTGTTCCTAAGGTGACTGTCAGTGTGCAGGTATTGAGTGGGTGCTGCATGTTTCTCAGCCATTTGGGTACCCTCAGACCTGGAACTTGAATTCAGGCTCCTGAACAGGTTCCTGTTCTGACCACCCTGAAGAATCCCCCCATAACCAGCTGCTCTGGCACGTCTCTAGAGCCCTAGGCAAGAGAGGCTCGCATCTGCCCTGGTGCAGGTATTTACTGAATGATGACTAAAATGCAGCGAGACTGGTCCCGATAGGGAGGCTTTTATGAGGTGGGAGTTTGCTTCTAAAGCCAGGGAGCAAGGTGGACATGATGCGCACAGATACAGTGGCCCTTGGAAAATTCCTGGACTCTCTGTAAAGTAGTCTGTGCAGGGCATGGAGTATGAGAGGCTGTAGGCAGACCTTACCTCAGCCATGAAGGCTCAGGCCTGTGAGAAAATGGGCCCCTGTGTCTTTAGAGGACCCGTGTCAAGCCTGATGACCTGTCCTTGCACAAGAAGTAGACAGGAGACTGACTCTTAGCTCTTGATGGTGCCTCATGCATGAGTCTCCGGTGCTCTCCAGATCAAAGGGAAGCCTACAGTTCTCAATTCCTCTCTGGAAGAAGACAAGGCTAGTAGGGCTCACGTGAGGGGCACCACAGAGAGGTACCTGCCCTGCCTACAGTTGGGGGAGTTTAGGAGGTGATAAGTGGAAAGATACTTCATCAACTGTTTCCTGAATATAAGTAACAAAGATGCGAAAAACCATGACAGTTGTACCTTCCTAAGCCAGGGCTAGCTCTTAGGTAATGACATCCTGGAGAGGATTAGCCTGGTCTGTTGTCAGGCCCCTGGAAGATTTAAGGATTAGATTACCAAACAACTTTTAGTTTAGATTTAGTCTTTCCTTATTCTTCAGACTAATTTTGTTTAAGTTGTGCCAGTGAAATAGCGCATTTTGCCTCTTGGTTTGTCAGAATGAATAAGTTTAGGTCTTCAGCAAATAAAATTGTTTTAAATTCTAAGAGTTTTGCAAACATATTGGTAGTTAACACTGAAATTGCAAAATGAAGTACAGCATCTCCTTCTGAAGAGGGAAGTAGGAGTGAGCCCCAGATTGTGTGTCACCGAAATGGCGCCCTAAGCAATTTCCTTTTCAGGACTGATCTGTGTACATTAAAGGTTTACTGAATTCTAATGTCATTCCACATCTGTCTACATGAATGGTTTTTAAAACAGCTCTGTGGCAGAAACCTTTGTATGTTAAAGCTAGATATATTTTTAAATAATCTGATACATTGAGAGTTATTGTGACTATTCCTTGAATGTATGAATGTGAATGAACTTATTCATCCTCATGGGTTATTTGTAATTTTATTGTCCTTACAATTTTTCTACATTGAACATATGTCACCAGCAAACATGGTGGTTTACAGGGTGAAATGTACAGTCATTTGGTGTCTCCACTGCTGTGTTGGGAGAAAATCTGTGCCAATTGGTTATAAAGTTGCATTCTGGGAGTCAGAGGATTGGAATGCTGACTGGCTGCCCTATCAGCTGTGCCCCGCCCTGGCTCTGTCCGTGGGGCAGCTCCTTTCTTAGAGAGCCAGCTCTCCTTGCCCTGTGCACTGGTTGTTAGGATGCAGGGGAATGTGTCATTGTGATTCCAACAGAACTAAAATCGCCTGTCTTATTCTGGCCATGGGCTGAGTTCAGGTGTTAGGGGCTCAACACCTTGGGCTCCTAGCAGATGGCCCCAGCTGCAATGGAGGCTCCCTGGGTTGGAGGTGCTAGCATCAGGAGCTGCAGGTATGGGGCAGGAGTGCAGGCTCCCTGCTCTGCAGAGGGCACATGCCACAACCAGCTTCTACTCTTTTTACTCCTACTAGAGGCCTGGTGCATGAAATTCATGCACGGGGTGGGGGGAGGTGCTGGTGGTGGTGATGGTGGTGGTGGTGTCGGTGTCCCTCAGTCAGCCTGCACACTCTCCAAACTGGGACATCTCTCTCAGAATCTGGGACTGCTGGCTCCCAACTGATCGCCTGCCTGCCTTCCTGATTGCCCCTAACCGCTTCTGCCTGCCAGCCTGATCTTCCCCTAACCACTTCCATGCCAGCCTGATTGATGTCTAACTGCTCCCCTGCCAGCCTGTTTGCCCCCAACTTCCCTCTTCTGCCAGCCTGGTCACTCCTAACTGCCCTCCCCTGCAGGGTTGATCGCCTCCAACTGCCCTTCCTTGCAGGCCTGGTGCCTCCCAACTGCCCTCCCCTGCTGGCCATCTTGTGTACACATGGGGGCAGGATCTTTGACCACATGGGGGCAGCCATCTTATGTGTTGGAGTGATGGTCAATCTGCATCTTACTCTTTTATTAGATAGGATAGAGACCTGGTGCACAAACCAGCCGGTCACAGTTGGTTTGCCCTGAAGGATGTCCCATATCAGGCTGAGAATTCCTTTGGGGCATGGGGTGGCCTGGGCAAGGGGCCTGTGGTGGTTTGCAGGCCAGCCACGCCCCCTGGCACCTAAGCAGAGATATCTGGAATTTATTTACCTTCTACAATTGAAACTTTATAGCCTGGAGCAGAGCCAAGCCTCTTGCTCTCTCTGTGGCCAGCAGCCATTTCTGTTTGGATTTGTTTACCTTCTATAATTGAAACTTTGTAGCCTTGTGTGGAGGCCTAGGCTGACTAGAGAAGGCAGAAATCTTGGCTTCTTCTGTTGCCTGGGGGACCCAAGCCTCCCTCCTGCTCTCTGTGGCTATAGCCATCTTGGTTGGGTTTATCTGCATACCGCTCTGATTGGCTGGTGGTTGTAGCAGAGTGATGGTTAATTTGCATATTAACTCTTTTATTAGGTAGGATTATTGGAAGAGCTTAGTGGCATAACCTATGTGTTGTTTTTTTAGTGTTTTTTTAGTATATTTTATTGATTTTGTACAGAGAGGAAGGGAGAGAGATAGTCAGAAACATCGATGAGAGAGAGTCATCGATCAGCTGCCTCTTGCACACCCCCCACTGTGGATATGCCCACAACCAAGGTACATGCCCTTCACTGGAATCGAACCCGGGACCCTTCAGTCCCCAAGCCAACGCTCTATCCATTGAGCCAAACCGGTCTTGGCTGTTTTTGTTTTTTGTTTTTGTTTTTTTTAACTAGGC